GCTTCTCTTCCAGTCTAGCTCTCTGCTGTGGCCTGGGAGTGCAATGGAGGATGGCACCTGGCTCCTAGCTTCAGATCAGCACAGCGCGCCGGCCACAGCGGCCACTTGCGGGGTGAACCAATGGTAAAGGAAGACCTTTCTCTCTGTCTCTCTCTCTCTCACTAACTCTGCCCTGTCAAACAAAAAATAAAAAAGGAATGAAACTGGATTCATGTCTTACACAAACAAAAAAAAAATCAACTCAAAATGGATGAAAGACTTAAGCATAATACCCCAACTGTAAAATTCCTAGAAGTGAGAAACCTTCATGACATTGGTCTTTCAGCAATGATCTCATGTGTAAGGCATCAAAAGCACAGGCAACAAAAACAAAAACAGACAAGTGGGATCACATCAAACTAAAAAGCTTCTGCACAGCAAAGAAAACCATCAAGAGAGTGAAAAGGCAAACTACAGAATGGGAGAAAAAAAATTGCAAACCTGTATCTGATAAGGAGTTAATCTCCAAAATATATAAAGAACTCCTACAACTCAATAACTAATAACCCAATTTTAAAAAGGGCTAAGTGTCGCTCCCCCTCTTCATGGAGGAACAACACAGGACCCTGCCTGGGCTTCATATCCGAGTCACGGCACCATTATGTCGCTCCCCCTCTTCATGGAGGAATGACACAGGACCCTGCGCTGTTCTTTTGTCTGCTCGGCCCTCCCCGGGTTTGCTGCTGGTTCTTCCCGGGTTGGCTACCGACCCTTCCACCTCCGTGGAAGGGCGGTTCCCCCTGCCACCTTCCCCACTTCGGCGGGGCAGCGGCACACCGCCGGCTGGCTCTCTCCGGGGCTGCACAGGTGTTCCTTCAGATAGATGTTCCTGGTGCATGTTGTCTCTCTCCTCCTTTATAGTCCTCTTCCGCCAATCCCAACTCGGCTGCCCACACACCGAGTACGCTGCTCTCCTCCAATCAGGAGCAGGATCAGCTCCTAGAGGTCATCACTCAAGTTGGCAAGAGGCAGCTGCATAGAAGCTGTTTCCTCCTCTCCCAGCGCCATATTGTGGGAGAGCAGATGCATAGAATAAGTCTTAATTCCAGTAACAGTCTAGTCCGAGTTGCTCCCCACAGCTAAGGTCTAGAATAGTTTTCCAAATGAGAAACACAAATAGCAGGTAGAAGAAAAATATATTCAAAGTCTAGTTGTCAGGGCAACACAAACCAAAACCATGTAAAGTATCACCTCATAGCTGTCAGAATGGCAATTATAAAAATAAATAGCAAGTGTTGGCAAGAATGCAGAGAAACTGCAACCCTTGTATACTGCTGGTAGGAATGCAGAATGGTGTAGTGCTATGGAACAGAATATAAAGGTTCCTCAAAAAAATTAAAAATGTAACTACTGTGAAATTCAACATTTCCACGTACAGGCATTTATACAAAAGAATTGAAACCATCATCTTAGAGATACTAGCATTCCTATGTTCATTACAACACTATTCACAATAGCCAAGATGTAGAAATAAATAATCTAAATGTCCATTGACAGACGATTGAGGAAAACATGGTGTGTGTGTGTGTCTATTATATATACATGTATATGTATTTATAATATATGTATATATAATATACACACATTGTGGAATACTACGTAGCCATAAAAAGCAAGTTCTTCAATATGCTTCCAACCTAGACAAACCTTGAAGACCTTATGAGAGGTGAAATAAGCCAGTCACAGAAGGCAAATACTGCACGATTCTACTTACAAGAGCTATCTAATATAGTTAAATTCATAGACTCAAAGAGTAGAATGGTACTTTACCAGAAGCTGGGGGAGGGGGAAAGAGATACAGGAAACTACTTACCAAGGGGCATAGGTTTCAGTCAAGAAAGATGAATGAATGCTAGAGATCTCCTGTACAGCAATCATATATTATATACTTACAAATTTGTTAAAAGGGTAGATTTCATGTTGTTTTTACTGTGATAAATTAAAAAAAAAAAACTTACCAAGATTAGTTGTAAATGGATTGCTATAAGGGTGTAGTAAATGTTAATCTGAAGAAAATCATCTCAAATTCTTCACAGACTTAAATGAACAGTGTGTGACTGAGAGGCATAAAGTGGGTTAACATGCTAGAAATAAAATATGACTATTAAAAATTAAGTTCGTAGCATAGAGAGTATTTTTGATATTAACAATATGAATTTCAGAGGATTGCTGTGGTAGGCTCAGTAAGTCTGAAACATCGACATCCTAATCCCTGGAACCTGTGAATGTTACTTCATATAGCAAAAGGGACGTTGCAGATGTGATTAAATACTGTGAGATTAACGTATTCACCTGGGAAATCAGGTGGGCCCAATGATGTAATCATGTGTTCTTAGAAAAGGGAGATAGACTACTTAGAAAAGGGAGATACTACTTGAGGAGAGAAAGCAATGCTTTGATAGAAGAAGGGATTATAAATGATGTAGCCACAAGCCAAAGAATGCTGGCAGCCACCAGAAGTTGAAACAGGCAAAGAAAGGATTTTTCTCTTGGAGTCTCCACAGAGGAACCAGGAAGCTGATTTGAGACTAGTAACACTGATTTTGAGCTTCTGATCTCAATAACTATGACAAAACAGGTTTATATTGCAGTGACTCACCACAGCAGCTATGAGAAACTACTATAATCACCAACATGGTATCTCAACGATCAGAACCCAAGATCTGCATTGGTTTTACAAAATGTTAAAATACCAAAAATGTTGGAGGAAAAGTGTTTTGGCCTTGTTAGTTAAAATGTTGGTTAAAATGTCTGCCTCTCATATTGGAATGCCTGGGTTTGTTGCCCTGTTCTTGATTTCAGCTTCCTGCTAATGTGTGCCCCTGGAGGCAGTAATAGTGGTTCAAGTGACTGGTCCCAGTTTCAACCTGGATCAGCTTGGGCTACTGCAGACATCTTGAAAATGAACTAACGGACGGGAGCTAGTTCCTTTTGTTATACAAGATACAAGTGGCTCTCATGAGGACCACTCAAAATAAAATAGTACGGGGCTGGCACTGTGGCACAGTAGGTTAATCCTCTGCCTGTGGCGCCGGCATTCCATATGGGCCCCGGTTCTAGTCCCAGGTACCCTTCTTCCAATCCAGCTCTCTGCTATAGCCTGGGAAAGCAGTGGAAGATGGCCCAAGTGCTTGGGCTCCTGCATCCACATGGGAGACCGGGAGGAAGCTCCTGGCTCCTAGCTCCTAGCTTTGGATTGGCGTAGCTCTGGCCGTTGCAGCCATCTGGGGAGTGAACCAACGGAAAGAAGACCTTTCTCTCTGTCTCTCCCTCTCACTGTCTGTAACTCAAATAAATAAAGTGGTTAATATTTGAGGAATTATAAATTGCTTTTACCAAGAGAAACCCAGATCCAGAAAAAAATCTTGATTTCATTTAAAAAATGAGTATCTTACTAGTTTTGAGTGGTGATGTCACTCCCAGATCAGATAATTAACATACTATTTTCATGGATGTAAATTCAGGATGCCAATGTATTTAGCTCTTAGAAATTTAGGTTAACATGAAAATGTAGTATTTTAATCACATTAGATTCTCACACTTGACATGAAATATAAAAAGAAATATAATTACCAGAAAAAACATACAAATGATGAATAAACCTGATAGATAAGTAACCTAACCCTCTGGTGGATTCACTGGGTAGCTTTCTGGTTTTGTAGTGTGCTCTTTTTAGGCAACAGATTTGAATGTTTTGAACACCTCAAATAAACTGCTAAAAGAGTTGCACAAAAACATCTGTATTGCCTGCCTATTTAGCAATGAGCTGCTTAAAGAAATGAAAATCAACGACTTTTATAAAAGCATTTACCTAGCATAGAAGAACTACAAAAAGAAACTTTTACCACATTCAAATAGTATTCGCAAAAAAAATATATAAAATTTAGAATTTAACTGCTTAGATAATGTTACAGGATGCCTTGAAGCAAAAAAGACATCATTATATAGTATTCATGGAAAAAATTTAGTTCTTCTATTACAATGAATTTAATACCAGTCAATAAATGTGTTTATAACCATGGCACAGTCCTTACTAAAAAATGTAATCATGATTTCTAATTTTATTCTGATATTATAAATGTTACTTAAGAATTTAACTGAACAACTGTTCTAAAAATGCAAATTTAACATCTCATGTCAGACAAGAAAATGCAGGCACACCACATAAAAGAACAATGTTAGTTATGGGAACATAAATGATTAAAAGTTAGCTACTTTAGCAGATACAATAGGACAAAAAGTGAGTTATTATCTGGTTTTTATGGAAAGAAAAAATCTAATTTAAAAAACTTTTTATCTTAGATTTGATATAGGATAATTAAAACAAAAGATGGAGTCCAACTTCTCTATCATACAGAACTGTGAATTCTCCATTTCCTGTCTTCTTGGAACATTTATTTCATAAATCAATGTTTTGTCAGGCTCACTGAGGGTTTTTTTTTTTTGACAGGTAGAGTTAGATAGTGAGAGAGAGAGAGGTCTTCCTTCCGTTGGTTCACCCCCTAAATGACCGTTACGGCCGCAGCTGTGCCAATCCGAAGCCAGGAGCCAGGCGCTTCTTCCTGGTCTCCCATGGAGGTGCAGGGCCCCAAGCACTTGGGCTATCCTCCGCTGCCCTCCCAGGCCACAGCAGAGAGCTGGACTGAAAGAGGGGCAACCAGGACTAGAACCTGGCACCCATATGGGATACCGGCACCACAGGCGGAGGATTAACCAAGTGAGCCACAATACTGCCATGTACATAGATGTACATTTTCAAAAGTCCGTAAACAGTATTAAAGAAAAACAGGAACTATTTTGTTTATTTCTTATCTAGTTTGTGAATCAACTTCACGGTGCAATGAATATTATTGTGAGATGTCAACATGAACACAAAAGCAACACTACAAACTGATGTTTTCTTTTGGAGTTTTTTTTTTTCTTTTATGATCAATTCCAAACACAGTACAGGGAAGATGGAATGAATACGAAAAAATATCATTTTATTTCCCCATTAAACACTAAGTCATATTATTCAAAATGTGTTTCAAAATCCTTAGCCAGATAACCAATTCCAGTCACTATTTTAGTTCTAATGTTCACCAAGAAAATAGTCAAGTAACAGAAAGCCATTATGAGAAACCATCAAGAGAGAAGAGCTACATTGCTATCTATAATTTAACTTAGTAGGTTATTCTCTCAATATTCAGCAAGTTTGCTTAAAAATTACTATTCCATTAGTTTATAGTGACATTAAAAAAAAACGTATAATTTCAAACTCAACATTCCTTTCACCGTGAACATAAAACTTCTAAAAGATAGCTGTGAGTTGGGGTACAATAAGGACTGTGGCTGCTGGGACAGTACTGTTCAAAGCCAAAACGATTGGCAGCCTTGGAAAGGCATAAACTATATACACACACTCTCAGTATGCTACTATTTCTCATATTTTTTTCTTTGCATACTTGTCTCATAATATGGTATAAATAATTTCTTTGAAGACAATCAAGATGAATACATTTTCATCTTCATTTCAAAATAACTATTTTAAATGAAAAATTTTCTCACATTTGTTAAATATGTCTTAGAGATGAGTTTAAGTATTTTCTTCACTACATGTATAATTTTTCTACCCTATCTTAGTGCCTCATTACAATCAATTTGGCAATAAGACCTCTCTAGTACTCCATGAAAAACTGCATTCAATAGATTATAAGATCGTTACATCTGCACCCAAATTCTTATATGCTACAACAAAGTCTAAAAAATGTATGGCCATTCATCAACACCCTTGCATCAATTATTGCAAATAACCTCACATATGTATTTAATTCAAATTTTGTGGAGAAAGGGTACAAAATAAATACTATAATATTTCTTCAACTCTATTTAATGCTGCCTAGAGTAAGATGAAAAGATTAATATTACTGAGAGGAAGAATCAAATGGCTTTAAGGTCTGTTTTCCAAGTAGTTAGAAAATTTTCACAAAACAAAGAGCCTATGCCAACACATCTTTCTTGTAGTGTAATATACTTGCTAATATGAGGTAAATCTGTAAGCAATTAATACAAACATGAGTATAAACAGGTATAAGTCACCACTAAGTCACAGTCTGGTGAAAGACTTCTCAGCTAAAGTATCTGGAGACAGGATTATGGGAAGTGAGAAGGGGGTGAACAGATTTCCAGTGGGAATACCTTTTATGTGCCTTATCATTAGCATCAACTTATATGTAACAGTCCACTGTTGTAAAAAGGTATATCCTTTCCAAGTATGCTGGCCTAGAATATACTTTATATAGCATAGTAAGATTATATAAGAATTACTAATGCTTCATTTGCATTTATATTTGGATATACACATAATCATAAATGCATATCAAAAACTATAAACAGAATTTTAAAGTACTTTTATCTCATTTTGGAAAAGTTTACAGTTTATGTTCTATAGAATTTTCTATAATATCTAAATTCAGGGACAAAATGAAAGGAAAACATTACTATCTCTTTAGTAAATGGTTTGTGCAAGACCTCAAGCTTACTCATCTTTTTATATATGGGTTTATTTGATGAGGATTGTAATCCAATGATTGTTTAGCAGCAATTTTACCAAACTGTAAATTCTTTTATTAACAGGCATTATAAACAGATAATACTAATCTTATTTAAAAAACCATGAGTGCCACACCGGTGAATATACAGCTTATGAATAACTTAAAAAGTATTTCCCCTTTTAAAAGGCAACACACAGCATACAAAAACCTAATCTAAACAAAGAAGCTATAATATGGATACATGATTGATGTGTCTAAAATGATATATACAGTACATAATTAACGTTAATTATGTGATCAGTACATTTTTCTGTACGATTCCCTTCATGCTTCACTTTCTCCAGAAACTGAATTCTGAACTTCCTCTTCTAAAATTGGTACAATCAGGTTATCCTTGGACATCAAATTGTATTTCATCACAAATTTAGTAAACCGATGACACAAAAAGGTTTCATTCTAAAAAAAGGGAAAAAAAGATGTTAATTTAATTTACTATTGAAAACCAAAACACTAGGAATAGCAGCAAGATATATTACTATTATTCTGATTAAGAATGCTTCAGGATCATTAGTGAAATATACTTACTTCATATTCATCAAATATCTGCCGGTGATGAAAATAAGCATGCGAAAATATTCTATAAATCCTACGGCATACTGATCCTAGTTTTGCTACAGATGATTCCTTTATGCTAACCCTAGGAATAGAAATTATAGATTTACAAAACTGCAGAGAATCTTAAGAACAATATATATAATAAAGTCATCTCAATTCACAAACATGGAAACCAAAACTTAGGGAAAATAAGTGGGACTAGTCCAGGAACAGGCATGGAAAATCTTTAGCTCATTCCTGGGCCAATGCTTTATTTAACCACACTGGATAAATTCAATAAAGTTATTATAGTCTTGGCCGGCGCCGCGGCTCACTAGGCTAATCCTCCGCCTAGCGGCGCCGGCACACCGGGTTCTAGTCCCGGTTGGGGCGCCGGGATTCTGTCCCGGTTGCCCCTCTTCCAGGCCAGCCCTCTGCTGTGCCAGGAGTGCAGTGGAGGATGGCCCAAGTGCTTGGCCCTGCACCCCATGGGAGA